AAACTTCTGAGTAGATAGGACTGCAGGCATGTGCCACCATAAATGGCTCAAGTTTTACTTGTTTTAAAAAATTTTTCAGTGGTTCTGAAACTAAGGTCTTATATATACACTTACTGACCTACCTCCCTAGCCCTGAAGTTTTTCTTTAGTGGTAGAAAAGTTACATTATTTATTCTCAGCTAGTATACATTTCAAGGTAATGTAATCTAATGCTCTAAAGTCTTTTACTGATTCCCTATCATAAAGATACTTCTCAAAATAAATTATTTATTGAAATAAAAAATTGGGAGGAATGTTTCCAATGACAATAAATTACGATTACTGAGGATTGTTGCCTGGATTATCACTATTATTCAATTGACAAAAACAATAAATATGGTAAAATTTAGTAAACAACTATGCTACAATGAGACATCAAGTTTGTTACTATTTTTAAAGTACATACAAGTACTAAAGAATTCTTTTTTTTTTTTTTGGTACCAGGGATTGAACTCCAGTCCTTGCACTTGCAAGGCAGGCCACCAAACTGCTGAGCTAAATCCCCGGCCCTTTTTTTTGGTTTTTTGAGACAGGGTCTTACTATGTAGTAGAGACAGACCTGGAACTCACTATGTAGCCCAGGCTGGCCTTGAACTCACAGTGATCCTCCTGCCTCAGCCTCCAGAGTGCTGGGATTACAGGCGTGAGTCACCACGCCCACCTTAAAGAATTCCTTTTATATACTGATGCCACTCAACTCTTGAACTTTTCCAAGCTATATGCTAAAAGTCATAAACTGATCTACCGTTATTTTAATAATCTTAGATGACAATTTAAACTTTCTTAAATTTTCCTGAAATTGAAGAACTGAAACTAAAACTACAGAAGACTCTGCTGTTCAACTCATGACCCTTCTCAATTCCTTTGTAAATTACACAAAAACCTTCACCAAGACTTCCATATAACCCTTTTACTTGTCATGTTTGCTTATGAAACTTTAGACAAAATTGAGGAAAAACTTCCACCAAGGAGAGGTTAGCACTCCCCTTTACAAGGATACAAGAAGCCCTTGGGCCTCAGAATATATATACAGAAAACCTCCATCCTAACACTGGAAATTACTCATGTCTTGAAGATTATTGAAAAACTAAAGATTTTATTACTGATAATGAATTTATGCTGTTTTATGAATTAGAATATAACACAAATATCTGCAAGGAATTAGCTCTGAGTAATACTGATTTTCTAGTTAAATGACTATGTGCTAATACACAGTTTGGGAGACATTTACTCCTATACCTACACATAGATTCTATTTTTTTGTGTGTGTACTGGGGATCAAACTCAGGTCCTTGTGTTTCTGAGGCAGGCGGTGGAACCACTGAGCTAAACCTCTGGCCCCATAGGTTCTTTTTTTTTTTTTTTTTTTTTGGTATGGGGATAGAACTCGGGTCCTTGTGATTGCAAGGCAGGCGGTGCAGATTCTACTTTTAATTATATAGTATTGCATTGAACACATTTAAGACACATTTAAATCTCAGAAATTTAGCTGCATCTTAAAATTGATAGTATATCATAGTTTATCTGGCCATGTTTTTATCAAGTGGTATATAAAACAGTGAATTGTGGTAGTTTTACAAGGGTGATAAAATCAGGAAATTAAGAGCAAAAAGAAGATACTGAGTCACTAGTAAGTTCAGGTCTAATATATGTATTTACAGTAAAAAAATTTTTCTGTTACTTTATACTTAAATACATGACAGGGATGAAGAAAGCAGAAAAATGCTCAGGTGACAATAGAAGATCAGATCCTAGGTAAAACAATATGGATTTACAGACTAAAAAATATAGTGGCAAAGGTTAATGAAAATGTTTCTAAGAATATAAACTATGTTCCAGAAAATATAAAACTATGAACTTACCTCTAACATGTTCTTTTAACTTGAAGATGTAATATTAGTATGTCAGAAGTAAAATATGGGCCAGGCGTGGTGGCGCATGCCTGTAATTCCAGCACTTGGGAGGCTGAGGCAGGAGGATTGCTGTGAGCTCGAGACCAGCCTGGGCTACATAGTGAGTTCCAGGTCAGTCTCAACTACATAGTGAAACCCTGTCTCAACACCCCCCCCAAATAAATAAAATATGACTTTTAATTTCTCCCTTGAAATCGTACAGATTATGATACTATAGGGACTGAGACAAATTTATCAGGCTCTTTATCACTAAGTGAAAAGTACAGCCTGCTTCATAGGCTTTAATTCATCAAAACTGTGCTTTTATATCAGATCCAAATATTCTAATTCTTAGAGAAGAGATAAAAAGCCTTACCATTTGTCTAAAAAAGATTCCTTTCCCTTCACATTATGTTCATGTTCTTTGTTTTCTTTTACACATTTTACTCTCAGAACTGACTTTGAAACTTGTCACAAAACAAAAAGGGGAAGGTCATTCAGAAAGGTCTGATTAGGTACAAATGGAAGGGATACAACAATACCTTGACAGGATTGTGGCAAGGTTCTGGAAGAGTATGTGTGACCTGAAATGATATCAAGGTCATTTTTGGAAAACACAACTTGCCACAAGTTTCTTTTGTAAAATGGAAGAAAATTATGAAAAGAACTGGTATAATCTCTTAACTGTGGACATGTTCTTAGGCAGATCTATTTTAACAAAGACTTCATAAGGGAACTGAGGATCTGAGTTGGATTTCCTTAAAGGTAACAATGCCTCTGCATCTCTTGGAAAGTTGAATACTCCCAGAAGTGTGCATATCCTTGTTTGAAGACTGTCACAGTTCAATACTTCCTTCTTTAATTAGCTAACTTCCTTAGATGCATTCCTAATTATACATTTTTCTAAAAAGTTTTCAGTATTTCAATGGATGTAAAATGTGTATTCTGGAACACTGAAAGAGTAAAAAGTTTTATTTTACTCACCTGAACAACAAAAAGAAGAGAAATAAACCAAATTACCAGTTCCATAAAGACTTTTATCTAGTTGGTGGGAGTTTAGACTGGTGCAACCACTGTGGAAATCAATATGGGGATACCTAAAAAAACTAGGAGTAGGGGCCTCATTTGACCCAGCTATTCCTCTATTGGGTATCTTCCCAAAAGAATGAAAAGAATCGTATCATAGCGATATATGCACACCCATGTTTATAGCGGCACATTTTGTAATAGCTAAAGCTTGGAATCAGCCCAAATGCCCATCAACTAGAGACTGGATAAAGGAAATGTAGTTAAAAAAAAATTAAAATGGAGTACTATTCAGCCATAAAGAATGAGAAATTAGAGACATTTATAGCTAAATGGATGCACACTGAGGCCATACTCTTAAGTGAAATAAATAGGACATGGGTAAATACAGAATAGTTTCTTTGGTATGAAAAACTGAAAGTGTAAATAAGAATTAAAATGAATAATTGATAATGTGAAATAGGAAGAAGAGGTACTAAGGGGAAGGGAGAGGGGTGGAGAAAGGAAAAAAGTGAAAGGAAAAAAATATGAAACAAATGGAAACAGCATTTGCAAATAGGGAGGGCAGGGGAATGGGGAAAAATAAGAACCAAGATACAACATGTAAAGATATTAAGCTCCCAGTGATGAATGTACATGTATTGTATACCTAAAATGTACCAATAAAACAATTTAAGAGGAAAAAAAATAATAAAATAACTTTATCTACAATGTTGTATATACTACCAATGCTGTATCCATCTTTCATGGGGAAAAAACATGCTTTTGTCTTAAAGTCATCAAAGGCCCACAACCTGAAGGAGGCATTAGTAACTTAGTAAGAAATTTTACTTATTTATTATTTTGCTTCTCAAGTAGAGCAGTGAAATAAAATGCATGTAAACTATTAGGAGAGTTACATTTGACTGTTTCCCAAGTATGATGCAAGTGTATTGGCATAAAATTCTTCTTTTATTTTCTGAGGTAAGGTCTTATTAAGTAGCACAAGCTTGCCTTGAACTTGAAATCCTCTTTACCCTGTCTAAGTAGCTGGGATTACAGGCACGTACCACTGTAGCTGGCATCCTAACTTCTCTTTCTGACAGTAACATAATGATTTCTAAAAGATTATTTAATAATTATCTCCAAGAATCAATTTCTGAAGATATTTACCTATGAAGTTTAATAAAACATATTTAAAAAGTGATCTACTTGCTTTCTCTTATACAGCATGACCTCAACATATCTGGCAAGACAAGATGTTAGGGAAGGATTTTTCCTTTGAAATAATGGGTAAAATCACTCATCCCTTTACTATATGTAGAGTAGGTAGAGAAATCTAGTAGTAATATAGAATTTCTGTATTCATTCATCAAATATTTATTTAGTGCCCATTATGCTGGCAGTACTTTAAAAACTGAGGACACAGAGGAAATAAAATCACCATTGAGGGCCCCACCCTGGTTTAAGCGTCTATGGTATAAGCTACTGTAATTAGGCCTAACTGCCTTGGTTGGTTTAATAACACAGAAACATAATCTAACCATGATCAATTTGCCCTCTCTGAGATTGACAGAATTAAGTAATTTGAGATTGCTGGTAGCCATCTTCCTTGGCCTCAATAGTAAATAATTCCACAATTCTGACATACAGAGAAATTGAGACAGAACAGTTATCTAGCTATGCATGTTCTATCCCTGTCTTTTCTGATTAAATGAGTATAAGGAAGTGGGTTTCTATGACTTGAAATCAACTTCCAATACATTTTTACAGAAGCTTTAGATAAAACATGCAAGCAGAATGATGGTTATTTCAAATATGAATAGAATTCTGCTATTGTCTTCCTTTATGAACAAACAGAACCATCTATAGCTCAAAGAATGGTTTATCCATTTTATCTATTTCATTTTCAAAACTAGTTTGCAAAACATTCTCCAAATTCTAAGTGATTACAAGATACTATTTTAGTAATTTTACTTATCATACCAGAAAATCACAATATAGCTAGAAAGACAAAATGTTTTATTTTAAAACATTGGAAAAACATTAAAAGACAAGTAAGTGTCCATTATATAACCAGGAATATTAAATATATGGAAACTGTAAATCTTCTAAATGTGGTAGGCACTTCCAGAGAGCTAAATACTGCAAATTATCCTATGTTCTTCTCTAACATCAACACTTGATATGATGAAAGATATGATGGCCTTACTAGTTATTGAAAGTCATCATCATTGGGTTCAACTTAATCACAAAGTGAAAGTTTTGTCCAAGATGGTCCTGACACATGAAGCTTCCAGGTGAATTTCAGAAATGTTAACAAAAGTATCTTCCTTTTTTGCCTGTGAATGTTTGAGTATTGCTGTATTGTTGGCTTATATCCACTACAGATACTGGTTCTAGGCCAGCCCAAGGGTCTTCAAGCATTGAAGGCTTGAAATAACTTTCCAACTCATTAGACATTCTTTTTTCTCTAACACGCCCTGATCCAAATGGTGTAGATGTCCTTGGAGAACCCTTTAGGAAAAAAATCATCAGTTAAAAAAAAATTTAGTAAAGATAATTTGTATGTTTTCCTTTTGTTAAAGACAAGTGTGGATCACACTGCTGGTTAAAAGTTGTCTCTTGAAACCAAATACAGGTACATTCAATTGCAAAGTTCATACTTCCTTTAATCTAGTGTTTTTGTTAAAAGTCCTTAAACCAAATTGGTATACTTATTAATTCCATTCCCACTGTTACCTCGAATTCTTTTTTGAGTTTTTAATGGAATAACTCTATAGTTTTTAAACACAAATGGTAGTGAACTAAAATACAAGAAATTATTAAGTAAAATAAATGTATTCAATTTTCTCTGGAAATTTACTTTTTATCCTGGAGGAAAATCATCCCCCCTCCCCCGTACCGGGGATCAAACTCAGGACCTTTCGCTTGCGAGGCAGGCGCGGCGCCACTGAACTAAATCCTCGGCCGCTCAAAACTTATTAACCCTATTAACCTTTGTATCTCACGAAAGTTTTCTATTTCATTAGCTCCAAGCTCAAAGAGGTAGGGATGATTTAGCACACACAAAATTGGAAAACACTGAGTAGTTCCAAGTTGTTAGTGAAAGAAATCCTAGACATATTGTAAATATTCCCTCTGCTTTGTATTCACTCTCACTGAAATGGAAAACTGTCAGTGCTACCGAAGGGAAACGTTGCTCGAAAAAAGGTAAAGGTTAAAAAGAGAGGAAAAAAAAAAAAGAAAAAAAGAAAAAAGAAAAGAAAAAAAAAAAAAGGAAAGACAACCGCTGTAGAAAATGGCAACAGCCTATATAATCAACAAAGTATATACTGGGGATTCATTCAATTTTCTCCCCTCGGAGCTCACGGGCTAAGAATAATTTACTGAGACGAACTGACAAGGCCCTTGGCAAAGAGGAGGAAATAGAATTTGGGAAAACTGTATGAGTGGCAGTTCACTGGTTAAAAGTACAAGGGCTCTAGAACAGAACTACAGCTCTGCCACTTCTTAGGCTGACTGTAAGGAAAATATTTAAGTCCTCTAAGTCTCAGTCCACTCATCTGCAAAACAGGGCTAACCATAGAAAATCGCCTCAGAGAGGATTAAACAAAATAATCCACGTAAAGGGAATATGAGTACCATGCCTGCCACACAGGAAGAGCTCGGCAAACGCTGGCTATGATTACCTGGGGGTGGGTCTGCTGCTGCCCTGGGGAGTAGCCGAATTGCTGCTGGGACCCCGCGGGGGACCTGGAGTAGGAGCCAGGGTAGCCGCCAGGGGACGGAGACCCGTGCACGGCGGCGTGTGGTACGGACTCCCGTACCCGTCCCGAGGGGAGGGCGGCCGCGGTCCGCCCCCGCCCGGGGTACCCCGGAAGCTGCTCCCGTTACCCCAGCCTCCTACACCCGGGACCGGGTAAGGAGGAGTTGGGGGTCGAAAATTCGGTCGGTGCATGGCAGGAACAGAAGACGAAGACTTCCCTGCCGCGTTCTCCTACCGGAACTGTATCGACGGACCCTCCGAGAACTGGTAGTCCTTTATTCTAACAGTCCCCCGGCCGCCAAGGCCATATGACACATTAGTTCCTATCACAAAGGTTCCGCAATGGGAGGCGGGATAAGTAAACTGCTGAATTCGGAAGAGACTTGAGTGGATCTAAGTGAAGGAAAACAAAGAATAAAGGATTAACCGAACACCAGGCCGCAGTAAGGTCGGCCCAGACCACCACCAGCCTTCCGTCGGCCCCACAGGGAAGACTCCTGCCTAGACTACTGAGCTAATTCACCAGCGTCC